TAGAGCACCCCAAAACAGCTTAGAAATGACATTGACCAATATATGAAAGACTACTCTAGGGCCAATGTGCTAAAGAATATGGCTGACAGACTCTCTGGGTACTGGACAGGAGTGGTAGGGTACGGGGTCTTCTGGATGGGAGTTTCTCCGGTTCTCAGCCCAACACATCTGCCCAACACCAAAATTCAAAGACTTTCTTGGATCCATTCAAGTTTCTTGTGGTTACCAACCCCAACGTATTCTTGCCATATTTATCTGCCAAGACATAGCTTTAGTGTTCAGATCCCCAGAGCTAGCTCTAAAACACTAGATGGGAAGTCTGAGCAATTGATTGAAGAGAAGCTGGACTTGAGGTATAGAAGCTGGCTTCCACAGTTGTCCAAGTAGGTGAAGGATGAACCTTGTGGCAGGAAACCCAGGGAAGACTTGACCACTCTCTGTCTTGCCTGGTCCCGGATGAGAGGGAGCCTGGGAGAGAATTAGATTCTCCCTATCCTATGTGATCTAGAGCAAGCAAAGATGAGTGGTGAACGTTTACTCTAGTCTCATTCATATCAGTCTCCCAGGGATCTTCTCGTTGGCTATGTCCTTCTCACTCGTCTTTCCATTCCACTTCTATCTGGGTGCCAGTTCTTTAACTCTGCAAACCATTTCTCAATTCTGGTCTAACGCCTTGAACCTGACACCTTAATTCAACTATTCCTACCATGGTTTTCTAATGAACTCAGCTTGTCTTCAATTCTAGTAATTTGAAGCCAAATACCCTTCCCATGACCCAGGCTTCCCTTCTATTACACAAGACACATACCCGATAGACACAGCCCCAGACCTCTGCCAAGCCTACTCCAGCCATCCGAAGTCCTTGGCCCACAACAGTTAGAAGACACCCTTAGGCCTGGGGCAACTATAGCTCCCTTTGAAGACTAATATAGTGACATTTTGCTTTGTGAGTTAGTATCACTATGCTTGATAACCATTAATCAGTATTGTAGGGCATAATGGTGATTCCACCAAGACACAGACACACAATGAGGTCTAACCTGAGAAAGCCTTACCATTAGAGGAGAAATTTAGTGAGAGCCTGAGTCAAAAATGTAATCAAAGGGAGAGGAAAATTACAGCAATGAATGCATAGGACGAACCTGGAAACATTCCTTTCAGTATCAAACTTCTTTCTTAGCCCCTATTTTGGAGGCTGATAATGGTTTTGTTACCTATCTTGGAAAATGTTTGTATTTTAGCAGATGCCTCTGATGTCTCCATCCATATCTTTAGCCCACATGATAATGTGGGCCATCAGGTACAATGGCAGGCAGGAGTTTTAAAGCAGAATGGCCTGACGGAAAATCTCAACTCCCTTCATGTAAGCAAGTGCTTACTCCACCTACTTAACAGTCACATATATTCCTGCATATCTGAAAATAAAAGATATAACCATCATAAATTCACAGTCAAAAAGTAAGTCATTAAGATTTCTTAGCAGGGCACAAAAGAGGCCATGAAAAAAAAATTTCATTTGAAATTAGGGGTTCCTTGCCTGAGTAGTAAGTTTGCACTTTGCGACATTTTATGTGTCCTGAATAAGCACATATGTCATAGACTGAATTGTGTCTCTCCAAAAGTCATTTATTGAGGCCCTAACCCCCACTGTGATGGTATTTGGAGGTGGGGCCTTTGGGAGGTAGTTAGGTTTAGATGAGGTTATGAGGGTGGAGGCCCCATGACAGGATTAGTGTCCTTTTAAGAAGAAGAAGAGAGATCAAAGTTCTCTTTCTTTCTTCTCTATGTGAGGACATGACAAGAAGGTGGCCATTTGTAATTCAGGAATAGAGTCCTCACTGGGGAACCAAATCAGCTGGGACCTTGATCTTGGATTTCCTAGAACTGTGAGAAATAAATTCCTATTGTTGAAGCCACCCAGTCTACAGTATTTTCTTATGGTAGCTTGAGCTAATACAATGGGTATCTTTAAACACACACACACAACAAAAACAACAACGATAACAGCCACAAAAAAAATAAGATGATCTATTCACATGACCTTAAGACTCATCTACTAAAATCTATCACTGTGCTTGGGTCAGTTATCCAGTGATATCACTTGAGTGATACAGGCTTCAAACTGATATTCTGCCCACAGGGAACTGATTAAATACTAAACCATGAAAATTTGGGTCATTCATTGGGAAGCCAGGGAGCAAGGCAAGAGCTAGGCTGGAGAGTCCACTGTCAGAAGTCAAATCTACAAAGCCACTGGATCAACGCCAAAGGCTGGGATTGGAGAGGAAGAAGAAGATAGTATCTGGATAGTGCCTTCAGGTCAAACAAGTCAGATGAGACCTACATAGGAAGACAAACTACCCAATGGTGCATTTAGCCCCACATTCTTATTCCTCAGTGGAAAAAGACCTTGTGATGATAAATGTCATTCTATAAGTAAATTTGGGGATGGGTAGGTATACATCTGCTGTAGTGACAAGAGTATGAATGTTAAACCATAACATGTACAATTACATCTTAAAGTCTAGTTAAGGGAAAATCATAAGCCAAAAGTGTGGCTGATAAAAACGTGCGTTTCAACACACACTGTAGGGTTAGCCCAACAACCACAGCAAACTCAAGTGATCATTAACTTCAGAAGTAATTTTCATTAAAAACAAAAATAACAGCAATTAAAAACTATGACCAGCTTCAGACAACACGGATGATGTGCTGGACACAAAACATCCTTCCTCCAAATTGTAGGAATTCCAACTACAACCTGTTCGTGAGCATGCGCAGTAGAGCCCTGCAAATTGCCAAGTGCTTCGTGGCATGGACTTCTTAGAAAAATCTGCACCAGCAGGAAACCGTGGCCATGAGCTAATTTTAGTTTATGAACACCCCATTTTAGTATCTCAAACTCATTCAGTAGATAACTGCTAATAAGCAACTTATGTTAAAATAAAATACTATGGAATTGTGAGTCATTTGCCAGGAAGAATCATGGAAAGGATTTGCATTTGGGGGAGTCTGGGGTTTACCAGGAGGAGTCCACTGCATAACTGAGAACCAGTGCCTGCTATGTGGGGGGTATGCTGTTAGCTGAACTGGAGCAGCTGGGCTCCTGGCTTAGCCTGCTGCCGGTGGTCCATAGCATTTCGGGACTCCTCCCCACTCTCTATTAAACAACTCCTTGTTATCCTATGGCGGTTGGCTGGGAATCCCAGTAGGGTTTGGCTGCTCCATGATGCTGTTTCTGCCTCCTTCTTAGGAGAGATAAATGATATTTTTGGCCACACCATTCCTGGGCTACAGCTCTCTCACATGTAGCCAGTCTATAAAAAGAGTATGATGATTAGGAAATAATGTTACATTATTGACAGATATATGACATGGACATAAGCAAAATTTTGTTTTTATGCCAGTTTCTAGGTGTGATATTTAAAATTTTTAAACATGATAGCTTACTCTAACAGAGCTTTAAAAGTATGATCTCAAAACCAGAAAGCATCAGTTCTACACTGATGGTGGGTATAGGCATTAATAAAATATGCTAAGAATGTAAACTTTTTGAAGATCAATTTCTAAGCTACGTGTTTGATTGACGGATTAAAAATCCTGAGCAAAGTTAGCACTTTGCTAAAACTGTTCCACGTTTATTAAGCCAGATGTGTTGATCCTCTGCCTGTTGTGAAAGACTATTTAAGCCAGATAATGTATTTTTCAAGTTGAAACATTTATTTTTTACTTAAATGCAAAACATTTAACAAGTATCTGAAGAGACAAAAGCTCTAATAATAGGGAATGATAATAGGATAGTTTACAGTATATGCTAACACCTGTATGTGGTATATTTTCCATCATGTAGTCAAAATGAACACAGCATATAAACACATATCAGAAATCCTAAGGTAATATTCACTTCTAGGACAACAGCAAAGGCCATAAACAAAATAAACTGCATTACCAGACGTCCACGTACTCCTAAAAAAATGTTTATAATTTCTTGCAAAAGAAACGTACCGGCTGCTTCAGGATGTGGGTGAGACAAGCATGTTCCTGTGGTAACAATTTCCCAAACAAGAAAATAGTTAAAAAGACAAATCTTTGCTAAGCTCCAGACTACCAGGTCTCCTGATTTATGAAAGCAACAAGATAGAGCTGGTTAAGAAATAACTCAGAAATAAATATTTCATGAATCAGCAAAATCTGTCAAGTAAAATGACTTTTGAATTTACAATGCAAAGAAATACCTTCACATAGTCTGACACTGTCAAAGCATTTTATTATGTAGCGTTGAACTTTAGGTTGACATACTAGATCTAGAATATTCTACGAACATGCAAAATAAATATGCACATATATCCCGTAAGGTTCTGGCCAATCCTTAATAAATAATAATTATTATAATGATCTAAATATAGATTCATCCAATTAAAATATGGTGTACGTTTAGTTTCTCATAATCTCATTTTCTTTCCTTCTTTTTTAAAATAAGCTTGTCTTCTTCAATATTACATATTAGTGATATTTTACACTTTGCCCTGTTCATTGTCATTCATTCATTTTATTCATGAATCCTTTCAGCAAACATTGAGTATTTGCTAAATACCAGCAAATGATAGGGTCGAATCATCTTTTCTTTTTTTTTTTTTAAATTAATTAATTTATTTTTGGCTGCATTGGGTCTTCGTTGCTGCGCGTGGGTTTTCTCTAGTTGCGGTGAGTGGGGGCTACTCTTCATTGCGGTGCGTGGGCTTCTCATTGCGGTGGCTTCTCTTGTTGCAGAGCACGGGCTCTAGGCGCGTGGGCTTCAGTAGTTGTGGCACGTAGGTTCAGTAGTTGTGGCTTGCGGACTCTAGAGCACAGGCTCAGTAGTTGTGGTACACAGGCTTGGTTGCTCCATGGCATGTGGGATCTTCCCAGACCAGGGCTCAAACCCATGTCCCCTGCATTGGCAGGCGGATTCTTAACCACTGCGCCACCAGGGAAGTCCAATTTTTTCTTTTTTTTCATGTTGAATTTACTACTCTTCTGAAACTCATTCAATAAGATTTCTAATAATTAAAAGCCTCATTCTTCACCCCATTGCTGATGATCTACCCAGAACTTCTAACCCATAGCCATTCATTTCACATCTTTCCCACTAAAAGTGAGATGAAGTGGGGTAGGGAGGACAGGGTGGTGAGGAAAGAAACTGGTACGTATTATTTGCATCCAACACTCAGTGCACTTGATTAAGTGTTTAACACATATTACCTTAAATAAGTTTCACAACAACAAAATAAGGTAATCATATTATTATCCCCATTTCATATATCGTGAAACCGAGACTCTTAGCACTTAAGGGACTGGCCACATAAGGTCTCACAGTTAGCAGTTGGCAGTGCCAATAATGGGACCTTGGCCTGTTTACCCCAAAGGCTTTTCAGCAGCTCTTCTAAGAAGCACAGTTGGCACCCCATACTTTTTAAAAACTCATTGAATAAAATTTTGTTTTCATCTATACTACTTGGAAAACCCAGACCTCCTCTTCTTCCATTTCCTCCGAGAACAATATGCTATTTAGATAAATTACTAGAAAAATACATTTAATCAGGGGTTTTGAAGCAAAGGTAGACAGCTCACACAAAGAAAATTGCTAATGAATAATGAAAAACCTTAAAATTCTGAAATCTACCTATTGTATTATGTGTAATTTTTTTTCAGGCCACCCTCTAGTATTACTGGAAGTAACAGATAATAGATTATGCATAGGTTAGGTATTTAAAAGTTAGTACTATAAATACAAATTAAACCAAGGGAAAATGTAAACATAAAATGCCCAGTTTCATTAGTAGAGATGAAAAGAAATAATGTCACAAAATTAATGCTAAAGCAACACTATTTATTATGTTGCATTCTCTTTAATTATTCCACATCAGTAGGTACCTTATAGTCTTCATAATCTTTGTTATCTAGCAAGTCCCTTTTCTCCAGTTCTATAAGCTGTTCTGCAGAGAGCTTAGCTGGTAGATGCTTAAGAGACGCTTGCTCGTATATGGGCTTTCCATTAAAAAACAGTTCCTTCCAATCATGCATCAACTTATATGGAATCAGGCTACAGCAAAAAAGAAGAAAAAAAGGTCGAGAGGAATCAATGGTTAATCAAATACACATCTTAAATCTTAGTCTTTCTATTACCATGTTCGTTCACCAGGATCTGCTATTTGAGGCCAGAGGTTCCTCTTACTATGACATTTCTAATAGCCAGTAAAATGGCTGAAACTTAGTAGGTTTGAATGAATAAATGTTACCTAAACACATTGGTTCTTCGAATTTTCTTTGATTGTGCACTGAAAGCACAATATATCTAAAAATACTGACGACTGGGCTTCCCTGGTGGTGCAGTGGTTGAGAGTCCGCCTGCCGATGCAGGGGACACGGGTTTGCGCCCCGGTTCGGGAAGACCCCACATGCCGCGGAGCGGCTGGGCCCGTGAGCCGTGGCCGCTGAGCCTGCGCGTCCGGAGCCTGTGCTCCGCAATGGGAGAGGCCACACAGTGAGAGGCCCGCGTACCGCAAAAAAAAACCCCAAAAACAAAACAAAACAAGACAATACTGACGACTATCACAAAACTTGCGTTCTTTGATTTCTGGCTGTGATACTAAATGGCTGTGCAAGCTTTGGAAATCAGTTAAATGCTCCAATATCAGTGTCCTCCTATGCAAAATGAACAGACTGAATACTTTCCAAGGCCTCTTTAAGATGACAGTTGGTTTACATATTTGCAAATAACTTGTAACAGAAAAAAAATCTAATGTTGTGGTAGTCTTATTGTCATTGCACGTTTGGTAACCTGTGCATTTATTTTTCAGTACTTTTTCTATTTAAGTCAGATGAATGACTTGGTAATCAGGACAGAATGATGGGAAAGTAGTTCCAAGAGGAACAAAATGTGCAAAGGAAGGAAAGAGCCTGACATGATTCAGATGCATTTCTCTAAAAATAGTGGTACTAAAGCTTGAAATTGCAACTTAAAAAGTTGTATTTCATTCTGATACATGCTACAACATGGATAAACCTTGAAGACATTATACTAAATGAAATAAGCCAGACACAAAAGGACAAATATTGTATGATTCCACTTACATGAGGACCCTAAAAGAGAAAAATTCATAGAGACAGAAAGTAGAACAGAGGTTAGCAGGGCTGGAGGGAAGGGGAATGGGGAGTTATTATTGTATTTAATGGGTACAGCACTTCAGTTTGGGATGATGAAAAAGTTCTGGAGGTGGATGGTGGAGATGGGTGCACAGCAGTGTGACTGTACCTAATGCCAGCGAACTCATAAATGGTTGAAAACCACTTAAAAACGGTTAAAATGCTAAATTTTATGTTATGTATGTTTCTCCACAATAATAAAGTAGTATTTCAATTAAATGTGAACTTCAAATATAATCATTGTTTTCCATTAATAAAATATTGATATTTGTTAAAGATTATAGAGATATGAAGTTTAGAAATTAATAGCTTAGGCATAGAAAAATTCTTTTTTAAAAAATAAAGCCCTCTTTGTTTTCTTTTCTGGGTTTTTTTGTTTGTTTATTTGTTTATTTTTGGTTGCATTGGGTCTGGGTCTTCGTTGCCGCACGCGGGCTTTCTCTAGTTGCAGTGAGCGGGGGCTACTCTTCGTTGTGGTGAGTGGGCTTATCACTGTGGCAGCTTCGCTTGTTACAGAGCACAGGCTCTAGAGCACAGGCTCAGTAGTTGTGGCACACGGGCTTAGTTGCTCCGTGGCATGTGGGATCCTCCCTGACCAGGGTTCGAACCCGTATCCCCTGCACTGGAAGTCAGATTCTTAACCACTGCACCACCAGGGAAGTCCCACATAGAAAAATTCTAACATCAGAATTATTGAAATGGCATTGGCTCCTATGGTGAAGTAAATGATTAACAACATATATTGTCCAAAACTTAATGTTGCAATTACTGAATTAATATTCTATTATCTGAATATCAATTACTTTATTAAGGAGCAGTCTTAACAAAAGTTAGTTCATATAAGTAGTCTGATACCAAGAATATCCCTGTGCTTTAGAAAGAAATATATATTGATAACATCTTGTTTAGGGAAGTACATAGAGAGAATAATGTGAGTTTATCTCGACTGTTAGTAGTGTAGACTAAAAAGATCTTAACATATACGTGTAATCATTGTATTCAGTTGCAAGTAAAAGACACTTATAATTTCAAAGTAAAAGACCCCTTCAAAGTTTAGGGTACCAATACCTCTGGAACTTTAAAATTTTTTGTATTTTTTCATTAAAATAAAAATGGCTTCATATGACCAATATATTCTCAATATTAATTTTCACGAAGCAGGATTTATAGAGTAATAAAAGGCAGACTATATATGAGTCTGTGAAATATTATATTAGTCAAACTCAATACACACAGGAGGTCCTCAACTGGGCCATGGCTCACAGGCCCAGCCGCTCTGCGGCATGCGGCACCCCCCCGGACCGGGCCACGAACCCGCGTCCCCTGCATCGGCAGGCGGACCCCCAATCACTGCGTCACCAGGGAAGCCCTCCTCTCTATGTCTTATAAGGACACCAGTCATATTTAATTAAGGTCCCACCCTACACAAGTATGACCTTATCTTAACTAATCTATCAGTAATGACTATTTCCAAATAAGGTTACACTCTGAGGTATGGGGGATTACAACTTTAACATATCTTTCTGGGGGGACACGATTCAACCCATATATAAGCATCTATATAGTGTCTTTTTAGACACTTAAAATTTCAAAGTATTAATAAAAGCTCCCTTAAAAGTTTATGATACCAATACCTCTAGAACTTTAATTTTATACACTCAGTTTTTACATTCAGTTTGAGCTCTCCCTGGTTGTCGGTATGATGCATGAGTTGTTGTTGAAGTCTGCACACTTGTGGATTATGTTGCAAGGCTCTGAATCTTGCATAAACCTTCTGTTCTAGCTGTTTTTTTCTGCCGTTGCTCAGACAAGGAAAGAGAAGGGGCCATCGTGTTACTGGCAGGTGTGGACAGAAGTCGTCACGTGGCCTTCCTCACCACCTGAGGGGAGGGCATCCTTGTTACTGCAGGAGAAGGTAGCAGTTCTGGCTCTCCACATGGTCTCCACTGCAGTGCGGGTGGCCTTGTGACCACTGGGCGATGGTGAAAGTCCCGACCCTCCCTAGGCTTCTCTAACACCGCCCCAGTAGGGAGGGGAGGAGTGGCCAGTACTGCCAGGTGGGGGTGGAAGTCCATGCTTCCTACTTGGCTACTGGGACACCATTCTCGTGGTGTCCCAGAGGTCCCTCATTACAGCCTTGTGAGGGTGGAAGACAGGCTCTCTACTTGGCCTTTGCTGGCACGGGTGGGAATGGGGCTACACTTGTGTGTGTGTGTGTGTGTGTGTGTGTGTGTGTGTGTGTGTGTGGTATTTGGGGAAGAGTGGTTATTGTCTAAAAGTTTTTCATCTTGCTAGGCTGCTCCTAGCAAGCTCCTAGCTCCTAGCAGCTCCTAGCAGCTCCTAGCTGCTCCTCTTTGACTAGAGACAGCAGGCTTCTGTTGGGGCTATTTTTTTTTTTTTTTTTTTTTTGGGGTACGCGGGCCTCTCACTGTTGTGGCCTCTCCCGCTGCGGAGTACAGGCTCCGGACGCGCAGGCTCAGCGGCCATGGTTCACGGGCCCAGCCACTCCGCGGCATGTGGGATCTTCCCGGACCGGGGCACGAACCCGTGTCCCCTGCATCGGCAGGCAGACTCTCAACCACTGCGCCACCAGGGAAGCCCTGTTGGGGCTATTTTTGTCTACACCATCGGCATGTCTGTTGCCGGAATATTCAGTTCCAATCTGGGATGTGTGAGGACAGGGAGAACCCAGGAAGCTCACCACTGTGTCCTGAGGTCCCCACTTCTTCTGTCCATCTTCAGAGTCTTCTTATGTTTGTTTCACACACAATGTTCAGGAATTTTCATTGTACTTAGTGGGAAGAATAGGAAAAAACGCATTCTACTCCATTTTCCCAGAGCAGAATGGGATTTGCATTTATGTTTTAATTTGGAATTATGAGCCTTTATTTGTTTAGGGAAATCAATCTGTACTTTTTTACCCTCTGAGTTATCTTGTGTTATGTTTTTATATTTAAATCCACTATATTTATCTTCTGTAATTTAATCTATTTTTTTTACCCTTATAATGCATTGTATCACCTTTCCTTTTTAACCCTTTTATAGATTACCTTCCTCACAATTTTATTCTTATACTTTCTGAACTTTTGAATTTATATTAATCTGAAAAGTATTTTTAAACATTTACTCTTGAATTCATTTCAATTTTTATTCTTATTTATTTTCTTTTCTCAATCTTGTACTCTTATAGTTTTATCTTCAAAATGTCCTCATCATTATGTTATTTCATTTAGTAGTTTTTATATGGCAGTGCATCAGAAATATAGCTGTTGAGGTGAGAGCTGTGGAGAAAGCTCCTATCAAGGGGTGATGGGATGGTTTACCCATCTTCTATTTGACCCTGAATATCATGTGGATTTCATTGTTTTCACTGTGGGTTCTCAAGAAGATCTCAGTCTGGGTAATATTAGAGGTCAAAACTTTAAGTGGAGTGACTTATCCTTGTCCTTGCGGAGATGCTTTCACTGAGATCTGTTGTGATGTCATTCCTCTTCAGCTTCCAGGAAAGGTCATCACAAGAGATAGGTCTCTGAAGCCAGGTGCCAGAATGCTGAGGTCATTCTCTACCAGACCTACTACACTACTCATTATACCTTAGGTGGGGCCACATGAGAAAATCATTATTCTAAACTGAGGACCAAGAAAAGTTTTGTATTTTGTAAAGAACTAGAATGGAAAACAGAAATCATAGGACAAACTGTGTTGCCCTTTTTGCTTTGGCCACCTGGAAGCTCAGATAAAATTTGCAGCTCAGTTGCAGTATCTGGCAAATCTACTGGTACCGGTATAACTGTGTTTTCATGTATTCCTTGTTTTTAACTTTCTACTTTATTTGAATTTTCTTTTTCTTCTTTTTTTTTTTTTGTCGCACCATGCAGCTTGCGGGATCTCAGTTCCCCAGTCAGGGATTGAACCCAGGCCACGGCAGTGAAAGTCTGGAACCCCAACCACTAGGCAACAAGGGAACTGCCATCCTCTGTTCTTATTTTGGCATATTCTTAATCTTTTTTGTATTGTTAAATGTTTCCTTACAAATAGGTTGACTCCTTTTAGAAAGAAGGTGAAATGAAAATCGATTTAATGATTAGTAAAATAATCTTTAAGTAATTCCTGTCTTCTAGGAAGTTCCTAGTGTTTCAAATAAATTATCATAGCTGTCTTTGTAAATTATAGAAAAGTTAGACACAAAGTTTAAATGTTAAAAGACATAAATACACCTTAAATCGGGCTAGTCATTGGGTGAATTAAGTCTGTAATCAAGGTATCCTGGACCCCATGTCTTAGTCTTCATTTCACAAAATATTGTTATCTCTCTTTACTTATCAACTTAGTGCCTACATCACAATCTTACCCTTTTCTCGTTTGCTGTGGTGTCTCTATTGTATTAACTATTGTAATAAAAACCAACACTTACTTATTTGTCAACATTCGATAGTCCGCCACTTTAGTGGACAAATCAAGGATTTGATCCAAAATTTCTGCACATATTGAATAATGCTTTCTGTAACGAGCCTGAACCCTTTCCATGGCGATCTGCTCATGAATTTCCTTAACTCTGAGGGCTTGTTCTTCAAAATCAATCTTGGCTTGTTTGGCCAAAGCCTAAGAAGCAAAGACATATTTTTAAGTCACTGTAATTGGGCAATGATTCAAGTAGAAATAGTGTCATCATTTCAATAGCCAAAAAAAAAAAAAAATCTCTAAATAGAATGCAACTTCCTTTTATATCAGAAAAAAATAAATCATGAGGGAGCACTTTCTCCTTAATATGTTAAGTACTGAGTGTGATGGCAAAGACAATATCGGAAATATCCCACCCTTAGCTTATGTTCTCAGCAAAACCCAGTACAGAGAAAAGTGTGCTATGTGGATTAATGATAAATTAGATCTGAAATGTTTAAAAAGAAGTCCTGAGTTCATGGACTGCAAATACAGTTGGGGAACACAGAGAAACAGGCAAGCATAGCTGGCTTCTGTGTACCCATCTCAGGAGACTTAACCTGACACATCTGCTCTGGCCAATGCCCTGTCTTTTAGTGGGAGACTTCTAGGATACTGATTTATACCTAGAAAATATTTTGGAAATTCCCTGATTATACTGGCTTGATAATATCACACATTTGCCAATAAATGTTAAATGTGTTTAGACAACAAAACCTTCTGCTGTTACAGCCTTAATAAATAGATACAATTCATTCATAGAGACATGTATTTCTGCAGAAAGGAAGAAAATACTTAGTTTGGCATTACCCTCTGTTTGCTTTGCACTATTATTTTGTTTAGGGAACCCACTCTTTACACTAAGTACAAAGGTCAAACTTGGCATGACCAAATGTTGCTTTTCAAACAGTTATACCAACTCCTTGAGAAATTCTATCCTGTGCTAACGTGCTCCAGGAACAAGAGCTGCCTCCTGAAACTTAACCCAACAAGTGTACGATGGCGGTAAACATGGGTCTGCAGGAGCTGTGCTCGAATTCAAGCCTCAGCTTGTACAGGTGTCAAGTACTAGCTGCGGGACCTTGGCCAAATCAGAGCTTCCCTACGTCTCCACTCCCTCTCTGTGAAGCGGGGATGGTAAAAAGACTCGGCATGAACAGAAATTAACTGTCAGAGCAAATACCTGTTATCAGGATACTATTCACAAGTACCTGAATGCGTGACAACGGGCTGCTACTGGCCACTGAACCAAATGGAAGCTTCATTTGGTTTGTTACTGTTGTTTGATTTTGTTAGTTTGCTTTAGTTTTGTTGGGAAAGAAGTTGGTCTGGGTGACCTCTGAGGTCAATTCTGTACATTTGGCACGTTCAGGAATGACACCAGAATTTGTTATCGTTGTATTGTTTTGTAGGCCCTGCTTTCATGGAGAAAGCGTCCAGTTTAAGTACAGAGCCTTGTGGCATGCTTCATGAAGTATGAAGACTTCAGAGGGAAGAGGAATCTGAGAGAGTAGGAGCCGCCAGATGAGAATTTACGAAGCGAGCCAGTGAAATGGGTTGTGAGGCTGGTTTACTACTGAGTGCCTGGAAAGCATGTGGAAATGTTTAAGATGCCACGGAACCAAAACCTTGACGGGAGCCCAGGAGCACCCCCTGCGGGAATGGAGCAACTTTCTCCCAGTGTTCTCTCCCTCCCTGCTCCCTCTCTCCTTCCAGGCCTTTCTTCCTTCTTTTTTAGCCATGGAGTCTGCTATTTCTACCCTCTCCCCAGCCCCCGTGCTAAACCCACCACAATTTCCAGTCCCATTACAGCAAAGTGGCTTGTAGCCCTAAAGAAAGAAAGAAGGAAAAGGAAGAAGAAGTCCGTGGGAGCTAGTAACTCTCAGCGGTGATGAGCCTGGACTTTAGACTCTGAGAACCGCTGTGCTAGGGCCACACCGCCAAGCTGCGCAACTTTGAGCTTTCTAAGTTCCATCCTCCCGACAGATGAAATGTACACAGGAACAGGGTCCACTGCCAAATGGTGCTGTGAGAATTATAATGCATGTAATGAACGTAACGCAATGCTGGACTCAGAGCGGATGCTCACAAGTGCTAAATGCTATTGCAGTGAATTACTGTGAATAATAGTAGGTGGCACTGAAATTTGAAATTGGCAACTGTTTTAATTAATATAGAATAGATGCCCATTTGCCTTCAAAAAAGAGATCATCAGATTTAACCTAAAAACCAGACAAAGCAAACAAAAACTCCTGATGGTGAAAAACATGAAGTTCTCTTTCCCTTTCTCCCTTTCCTCCTCCCTGCTTACTTAGGAACCAGCCTAAGTACTTAGGAACCACTCCTGCTGGAGGACGTGATGCATTCAAACTGTGAAATCAGGCCATCTCAGAGGGAGGGGTGCCCAGCAAGTAGATACCTCAACTTTGGGAAAAGGTTATTGTGTAAATGTTTTTCAGGGGCTTCAGAGCCTCCCAATTCTGGCCTCTGAGGCTCTAGCAGACCAAGTGTCCCAATCCTCTGAAGTGAGTCCAAGCCCAGGTTAGGAAAGAACAGGTCATGCTTCTCATCACAGTGAGACCGGTCCTGCTCTGAGACCGGTGCTTTGCTATTTTGCACTGAATTAACAGGGCTTGTGAAGCAAACATGTTTAGCAAACAGGCACTTATTTCCAATGTAAGCAAATGCCACTCAATCCAGTCAAGTTTACTCTTGTCAAAAAAGAGAGATGAGGGCTTCCCTGGTGGCACAGTGGTTGAGAGTCCGCCTGCTGATGCAGGGGACACGGGTTCGTGCCCCGGTCCGGGAAGATCCCACATGCCGCGGAGCGGCTGGGCCCGTGAGCCATGGCCGCTGAGCCTGTGCGTCCGGAGCCTGTGCTCCGCAACGAGAGAGGCCACAGCAGTGACAGGCCCGCGTATCGCAAAAAAACAAAGAGAGAGAGATGAAACAATCATCCAGATAATTCGGCTATTAAAGACACTTGAGATCATGCAGGTCAAATTCATGGCGAAAGGCTCCCCGCTCTCCTCCTAACGTTTTGGCTATGTCTGTTCTACAAAGGCAAAAGCACCATTTCCCTGACTCTGGAGAATACTGTACTTTCCAAATGACATTTCTCAAAATTGCATAATTTTATCAAAAAATGTGTTCCACTTTCATGGAAAATCACAGTGGAAACCATGATGCTGATAAATAAAGCATTGCCTTCTTATTTTCTGTAAGGTTTTCTCTTCTGCTCAGCCTGGTTTTATGAATATTTTATGACAGTAAAGACAGGCTATCTAAAATGCCACTCACATGAGCTTTATATTTCTTCAATCACATCTGGCTTAACAGACTGAATAAATTTGAAACCGCCCCAAGAGGAACAAGACAAGAAGGGATTCATATAAATCCCTTGATAAAATAAATCTATTTTGGTTATTGGAACTGTACATATAAAGATAAGGAAGATGTTAATATATCAAATAACTAAAAGATTAGATAATTTGATTTTCAGAGTTATAAAGGGCCTAGACACAATGATACCATGGTGGCCAAGAGCATACCTGGCACCCAAATCTTGGCTTCTGTAATCATTCTCAACTACAATGAACCAGGGTACCCTAGAAAAATAGCTTGTTCTAGTTCTGAGGAAGGAATAGTACAGTATGGGCCTGGGAAATCTTGTTTTACCAGAAAGCAAGGAATTGCTTATTCAAGACTAATGGTGTCTTATAAAAAGGAGGCAGCTTGAAAGTGCTCTCACTGCCTGAAAATAGTTTTCACTTAGAATAATGAACACCAAATAACATTCCAGTGAACTTTAAAGAAAAAGAAAGTGCTTTATGCGTCTAGAAAACAAGAGTAATGACTCAAGGAAACAAAATTTAGATTATCACTCATTTTTTTTGACAGCACACTTTATACCTGAAGAAAATGGAATAATGTATTTAAGATATTCAAGGAAAGAAAATGTGAACTAAGGATTTTATATACAAGAAAACTGACGAGTATAAAAGGCACATACAGTTATCAATATGCAAGCACTCAGGGAATATTGTTCCCATGAGCTGTTCTTGAGGAATCCATTGGAGAGCTTCAGACAACAGAAATAACCAGAGAGATGTGGACATAAGGACTGAGGGTGAGCACTAAATATTTGTAGAATCAGGACTAAAGGGAGAGTGTATAGTAGGTAGATGCTATGTGTGCTGTCAGTGCAGTTGTACAAAGATAAAAATGGGGAGATAATAGAGAGATCATACAAAAAAGTAACTCATTAAATGATTGGCATCTAAACGCAGCCTTGTTTACCTTGACTTGGTAGGAAGGATCAAAAGTAACCTTAGGAGGATTTTTAAGGGATATATTGTTTACCGCTTCTCGATCGAGAGCATCCTGGAAATCTTTAAGCCGTCTTTCCTCATATTGTTTTTCCCTGAAAATTCTGTTTTGCCGTAAAACTTCCTTTTCGTGCCGAACGTGCATGAGCTGCACGGCGATCCTGCGCTCCTGCTGGGACTGTCGCATCAGCCGGTTGATCAGCTGCTCCTTCCGATAAGCCTCCTGGAAACACCATTGCGAGATCCAATCATTTGTCAAGGTGATGTCCACATTTCCCGCTGGGCTGAGAAGCCTACACGTAAACCATGTGTAAAAGGCATAGTATTCACCTGCAGAATTGATATTCTGCTATTTGATTTAAATTTGAACATGGCAAAAATTGAGTTAGAAAAATGAAAATTTCCACCAACAGTTGTATAATTTTGGTATCCGGAAACACATGGTTTTGCAACCCCTTATTCTAAATGAATTATTACTTCCTTTGAAATCGGATCAAAAAATAGATTAGGTAATTTTTTTCAAGGTTTTATAAACAAAGGGTGTAATTCTCCACTTATAAGCATGTTTTCAGAAACTTGGAATTGTGCTATATGCACTCTTAACATAAAAACTAGTTGTAAAAACAAACGCAGACATTGTCTGGCTGAGGACGGCAGATCCGCTTAGTTCCCAGGGGGGCCATCTCAATTCCTACATGATAGATTGGGCAGATTGGAGAAGAGGCCAAGGGGAAATGACCTACAGTTTATCTTAGAAAATCTGAGTGGTTGTAACCTGAGAGAGAAACTAGATGCACTCTCTTGGCTCCCTTGGCTATTTTAAGAGAACCGAAGGGGAACCAGTGAACAGTGGAAGAAGCATCAAACTGGGAATCAGAGTCCCTTGCCAGTGCAGCCCCAGCTGTACCATTAACTGGCTTGCAGCCTTGGGCAAGTAACTCGGATTTTCCGGGCCTATTTCTTGACAGGGGAAATGAAGGGTTTGGGTGGAAGATGATCTCCAAGGCATCTTCAAGCTCTCTCACTCTGTCTAAACAGAGACACCATGTGGAAGGAGGCCGTAATTAATAGTTCTCCAGGGAGAAGACTTAGAACATCTAACGAAACATTGGGGTTGTGGATTTAACACTGAACAATCGAATTGTTCAGGAAGAAAATCTGGCATCACTAGTGACACTGTTTCAGATTGTGGGAGAAATACTATATGTATGTTCAGAATCAAGATACAAATAACAATAACACTCTGTGGAAAATACCAAAACTTGAACTTGGGGATTATATAAACCCTAGATTAAATAAAATTCAACTGAAAGTAAATAGGAAATTTTTTCTGTTATTAATATACCAGATAAAAATAAAATCATGAACAACTTTGAAACATATGTCTCATCTAGTTAAAACATTCTAGAAGCTTTTAGGTTAATCATTTGTTTCTTTTGAGGTCCAATAGTGGAGGTGAGGCAAAATGTAAAAATGGCCACAGATTCTTCAGTTTTCTTCATCCACAGCCTCCAATGCTATCCTGCAGATATTCCCATCAAAAATAGAATCTATTTCTTTACTCCTTAAATATGGGGTATGGGGTGACCTCTGATCTGAACTCACCAATGGGACATTAGCAAAAATAAAACAAAACAAAACACTTGTGGTCTGACTTTAATTCTCTTGCGACCCTTGCCACTGTCACCACAGTTTCTGCTCAGCTAGAAAATGAGAAACCATAGAGAGACACCAGCCTTCTCAGCTGGAACTAATGAAACTCTTCCAAGTCAGCCAGTCTCAGCCAACCCACCAGCCGACCAAAGACATCTGAGAGAAGCCAGGTAAGACCAGGAAAAGGCATGTATCTGAGCCCAGCCCAAACTGCCTACCACATTTTTGGGATACATAAAGCACAGTCACAGCCATATTTTTTAAAAGTAGAGCCTTGATTTATCATTCCAAGTGAATTCTATATTGAATTTGGAATATATTCTATATTTGTCTGTGTCTACATGGCAAGGCAATTTGGTTGTTGAGATGAGAGCTGGTCATTCTGACCCTGATGAAGAACGGGGTTGGTCAGATATGTCTTGGTTATTGCTTAGATGATAACACATTATGATTAAAAAGGAAAAGAAAAGAAATTACTGCTGAATGGCTGAGTCAATGCTATGTATATGAAGCTTCAGTATGAAGAATCATCAAGTGTATTAAGACCTGCAACCAAAAGTTGAGTGGAAAAGATTCTTTTTTTGTTCCATTGTACAAGTAGCTCATGTTTTAGAAACATACTTTTTCCCAAAGTTTCATTACAATTTGGGACACATTTTCTCATGGAAAAATATGTTATGGCTAAGTGCTTAGAGCAGCCTACAGATGTCTGTTTAACCCTTAACATAGATGAAATAGTCTACATCTGCAATGAATAAAATAGAAAATAAGAGAAGTCACATTTCTCTTTTCAGTATATTTAATCATATTTGGGGAAGACTTACAGATACACAATCCAAAACATGCTCAGTTTGATTGCCAAGACCTCTGCCTTTCCCATGAGTTGGAGCTAGGAGCTTACTCTGGTGCATACCATTACTTTAATTCTCCAAAGATGCCCGAGCGGCTCTCCTGGAGGAATGGAGCATGGCAGGAAAGACGTGGAAGCTAAGCATTCAAGGGTCTTTTAGTTAAGAGATGGGGGAGGTGTCTGGTGTTCAAATGCCAGTTCCAAGGAAATAATCCAGAAAAGGTGCTGGGAAGGTAGAGATAGGTGCGCTGGAATGAATCCCAAGAACAAGCTAAGATGCTGGCCAAATGATCACACTACCAGTTGGGAGTGTGCTTTTCATGGTCTGAAAATCTTCACTTAAATGCCTATGAAGTACTTAACCTCAACGAGTCCTAAACTAAACTCACTAACTCCCCTTTAGACCTGGTCCTCCCCCAGTATTTCCCTGTCTCCATTGATGACACTATTAACCTATGACTTGGTGACCTAAAATGTTAGGGTCATCCTAAGTCCATTCCTCTTGTCACCCTAATACAATTCTTGAAGAAGTAGTCTATTTTGCCTCCTATGTATGGTTTTAAATCACTGTCTACTCCATTCGGTATCTATTGACACTGCCCATTGACACCCCATAGTGGACATCAGCCCCTCCCCATACCTTGCCTCCCCCCCATCCCTCTCCAGAATCTATCCTCTAAAAAAGTTAAAGTGATCCTTCTAACCTTAAGTCTCATCATTTCATTCACATAATGACATTTCTTTATGGATAACTAGGCAAGATAGCAACCTGAGCACAGATCTCTGGCTCTCTCTTTATAAGCCCAACTAAAACAAGGGTCTGTAAACTCCAGGGGGAGATTGCAACGACTTGGAGGCTAGAGAAGATATTATGAGGCATTTCTGATAGATTCACTGCAAATGGAGCCAAATCAAAGTATCCAGGGCTGATACAAGATTCATGTCACGCTCCCGAAAAGCAGCAGATACTTGAGGGAAGCAGAGGAAATGTTAACCCTGACAAGTACCATTTTCGCTTTGGAGGAGAGGAGGATGGATGGGAAGGCAGACCATGGCGCACATTCCACCGCTGTGGAGCAGAGGCACTTGGGTCAGCGGCACAGGGAGGTGGGGACACTTGATGGGAAGGAAGCAGTGGGAGCGGAGGTCCCTTGCTGCATGACCCAGCCTGGTTCTAGATGTAGCAGCTTCCCCAAACACAGAGAAGAAGCAACACAGAGATGAGCTCCCTTAGTGGAAATATCATTAGTTGGAGCACTGACTTCCTCCAATGTCTCTTAGGTTGCTGGATCCCTGAACAGATCTCCAGCTAGAGCCTTAAAAAATCAATGCTAAGAGCATCCTGGTTGAAAGTGAGGAAAGCTAGAAAGAATTCATTCACCCCACTTTCTAGGTAAATATCAATTATGGATTATAAGCAGAAAAATAGAAAGAAAAAACCTAGCAGCCAACACACAACTGTTTTGTAAAATAAATGAAAGTGTGTTCAAAATCCCATTGCTAGTTAATGAAACTTGAAATAGGTAGTTATTCTAAAATCTACTTTTTAATCATCTAATTTTCATAATTTGTAATTCTTTTAATTAAAAGAGTGACTATCAAGCTGACTGAGTAAAAATATATGTGAATCTGAAGTAAGAAATAACCTTTTAGCACAAAGAGATGGCAGAGTTATTCTCTGAATTTTTCACTAGGAAAGGAGTGACCGCATGGATAAACCGTTTCACTTCTTCATACTTACATGAAGCTTGGATCTCCCTTCAGTTAACAGAACCACTGAGCAGACCAGATGTAGTCAGGTGAATAAAATAAGTATCTTCAAATGGTCTTTCACATTTCAGACATACAGATTTGTCCTACTTACTTTAACAACTCAAATCACCTTCCTCCCCAAGTGCGTTCCTCTTACCATCTTCTGTATCACAGCAAATGACTCCTCCATCCACTCAGCTGCCCAAGCCAGACACTGGGCCCCTCATCCCACGTTTTCACTCCCCCATGTCTAATGAATCAGTAAGTCCCATTGATTTTACTTCTAAAATATCTCCTGAAGTCACTTCTCTCCATCTCTACTGCCACTCCCCTAAATTTAAATGGGGATAGTTTCTTACCTGGATTACAGCAACAGCTATAACATGGTTAGCCCTCCTGTAATCTATTCTTAAAACTAAAGCCAGAGCGATCTTTCTATAAGGCAAATCTAGCCTTGTCACTCTTGTTCCCCTTTGCACTCAGGATAAAATCTCCTATTTGCCTCTTTATATCTTATAAGGCTCATTATGATTTGAACTCTGGTGATTCCTGCCTGATGACATTTAGCTTGCTAAAAGCCCTGAGCCTTTCCATACGATATTCTCTCTGGAGACACAGTTTGCCTTCCACCATTTTGGCTTCTGCTGGAAACTAACCCTCATCCCCACCCCCTAAAATCACCCCCACCTTCAATTAGCTAACTCTGACCCTTCCTCATGCTTCTGTGCTATCCCCCTTCAGAAATCATCTCTGAACCAGGCCAGGGCTGGACTTCCCTCCCATGTGTCACCTGTCCCTCCCATCACCCTCATGGCACCTCCACATTCCAATGTAGTTGCTTGTTTACAGATCCTCTCCCAAACAGCAAGGTCTGTGAGAGAAGATTTCCCATTATTCTTGTTCATGGTTGTATCCTGGGACTAGGACAAGTGCCCAGAGCACAGAGGAGGTTCAGTAAATATATGTTCAACATAAGAGCTGATCAGTGATTCTCAATCTATAGCTGCATCAAATTACCTAGCGGGCTTGTTAACATGGCTGACGGGACCTAATTATTCACATTCCTAAAAGTTTCCTGCTTATGCTCATGTTGTTGGTCCAAGAACTACACTTTGAGAACCACTGGAGTAGATCAAACTGAGAGGACTAACTAATTTTCCATGTTTTCATTTAAAAGTTCCCTTTTTGATAATATCAACTGATACAGAAAAAACATTTGAAACAATTCAGTATCCTTCCATGATAAAAATTCTCAACAAATTAGGTATAGAAGGAATGTAACTCAACATAATAAAGGTCATATATGATAAGCTCACAGTTAACATCATACCTAAAGGTATGATGCTAAAAGCTTTTAGATTTTCACCATTCCTCTAAGATCAAAAATAAGACAAGTATGCCCACTCTCACCACTTCTATTGGTACTGGAAGTCCTAACCAGGGAAACTGGCAAGAAAGAAAAAGAAAAGGCATCCAAATCAGAAAGGAAGAGGTAAAACGTCTCTGTTTGCAGATGACATGATCTTACATATAGAAAACTCTAAAGACTGACTAAAAAAAAATGTTAGAACCAAAAAACAAATTCAGTAGTTTCAGTATACAAAATAAACATATAAAAATCATTTGCATTCCTACACACTAACAATGAACTATCTGAAATGAAATTAAGAAAACAATCCCATTTACAATAGCATCAAAAATAATAAAATATTTAAGAATAAATTCAACCAAGGAGGCAAAAGAGCCACACTGAAAACTATCAAACATTACTTAAAGGAACTGAAGAAGACACAAATAAATGGAAAAGGTAGCCCATGTTCCTGGATTGGAAGAACTAATAATGTTAAAATGTCCATAATACCTAAAGTGATCTACAGAGTCAATGCAATTCCTATCAAAATTCCAATGGCATTTTTTACAGAAATAGAAAAACAATACTAAAATTCATATGGAGCCACAAAAGACTCCAAACAGCCAAAGCAATCTTGAGTAAGAAGAACAGAACTGTAGGCATCACACTTCCTGATTTCAAAATATATTACAGAGATGCAGTATTCAAAACAGTATGGTACTGATATAAAAACAGACATATAGACCAGTGAAAGAGAAGAAAGAGCCCAGAAATAAATCTACATATGTACAGTCAATTGATCTTCAATAAGGGTGCCAAGGCTGTACAATGGGGAAAGGACAGTCTCTACAACAAATGGTGCTGGGAAAACTGGATATCCACATGCAGGAGAATGATACTGTACCCTTATCTCACACCATATACAAAAATCAATTCAAAATGGATTAGAGACTTACACATAAGACCTAAAACTATAAAACTACTAGAAGCAAATATAGGGAAAAACATTTCTTGACACTAGTTTAGGCAATTATTTTTTTAAATTATTAGTTTAACAATTATTTTTTAATTATTTTTTTAACATGACCCCAAAAGTACAGGCAACAAAAGTAAAAATAGACAAGTGGGATTTGATCTAGCTAAAAATTCTGCACAGGAAAGGAGACAATTGGAAGAGTGAAGAGGCAACCTACAAAATGGGGGAAATTACTACTTGTGAAACATACATTTTGGTTAATATCCAAAATATGTAAGGAATTCAAATAACTCAATAGCCAAACACCAAATAACCCAATTTAAAAAATGGTCAAAGGACCTGAACAGACATTTCCCAAAAGAAGACAAACAAATGGCCAACAGGTATTTGAAAAGATGATCAACGTTACTAATCATCAGAGAAATGCAAATCAAAACCGAATAAGATATCACCTCATATCTGTTAGAATGGCTATTATCAAAAAATATAAAATAAAAGCAAGAGATAACAAGTGTTGGCAAGAATGTGGTGAAAGGGGAACCCTTGTAAACTGTTGGTGGGAATGTAAATTGGTACAGCCACTATGGAAAACTGGATAGTGTTTACTTGAAAAATTAGAAATAGAACTACCATATGACCCAGCAATCCTACTTCCGGTACATATCCAAAGGAAGTGAAATCAGTATCTCAGAGAGATGTTTACACCCCCATGTTCACTGCAGCGCTATTCCCAATGGCCATGATATAGAAACAACCTAAGTGTCCACTGATGGATGAATGGATAAAGAAAATGTGAGACATAAACATACACACATATGTGTGTGTGTATATATGGAATACAGTCAGCCTTAAAAAAGAAGAAAATCCTGTCAGTTGTGACAACATGTTTGAACTTGGAGGACATTATGTTAAATGAAATAAGCCAGACATAGAAAGACAAACACTGCATGATCTCACTTAAATGTGGAATCTAAAAAAAGTTGAACTTATAAAAATAGATCTTAAGTATTCTCACCAAATACACACACAAAAATGGTAACTATTTTTTTTTTTTTGGTGAGGTGATGAGTGTGTTAATTAGTTTGATTATGGTAATCATTTCACAATGTGTTCATATATCAAAACATCACATTATACATCTTAAATATATACAATTTTTATTTGTCAATTATACCTAATAAAACCTGGATGAAAAGTTTCCTTTTACCTCTAAATGTAACAATAGATAGACATGGCTGACATAGATTTTAGATTCCTATTTTGTCAGTATTTTTTATTGTGGTAAAATATGTGTAACATAAAATTTACCATTTCAATTCATTTTTAAGTGTATAATTCAATGTACAATTAAGTAAATTCACAGTGCTGTATAACCATTACCAGATTTTAGATTCTTTAGTAAGTGTTTTATGTAGATTTGTTTTCTGAATGTTATTTGCTGTTATGATGTGAGGATGTGACATTGATTCAGAGTAGCACATAATACATACATAAGATACACATATGTGTGCATAAAAGACTACATTTTGTAAAACCTTCCAGCACTGTTATTCAATCAACAATTAAATATCTTACCTCTTGTGCTTCGTGGGCTATTAACTGGTCCATTAAGAGTCTCCGCCGTCTTTTCTCCCTTTGCTGTCGTGCAAAAGCATCTTCTTCGAGGCGCTTTTGGAGTTTTTTAATGTAGTCATCATCCGAATAAGTGTTTAACAAATCAGCGGTTGTCTGGCCTGTTGTATCTAAAGAAGTCTTGGATGCACTAAGGACAATAGTTTTTATTTAAATTTTAAAAAATAACTCAATCACACACCACTACTGTGACTGTGGAGGAAGACCTCTGGAGATGGCTCCCTTGAGTGCTCTGTTCATTTATTCATACAAGCATCTAAGCAAATATTAGAACTTCAGTGTGAGATCCACAGCTTATCAACAGATTCCATTTGCCTCACCCCATTTCTGGACTCTGTATCTGTGAGGTCCTTAGCATAGCCTTCTTTCTAGGCCTGGCACCTACTTACTTACTCTTTTACTTCTCATGACCTTCACTGTGCCCAGAGATTCTGGATTTCTCTCCTTCTTCTTCCTGCTGGCTCTAGGCCTCCTGCCTCCCCTGCTTGGAGTCAAGAGTAAGGCAATATTGATAACCCAAGTGTCAGGGAAGGCATACTTCTACAAGAGTTGGCCAGGTGCACTAATGTGAGGACCCTGAGAGTACTTCCATGGATGGTTCTGTCCACTACAACTCTCCTCTCACCTATGTGAATGCAAGTTGCTCTATGAGCTCCCAGTAACCTTCCGACTCCTTAGGGCAGCAGCCCAGCTCTTACTAGAAGCTCAGCAGTGGAGAGTTGACTTGTACCACGGGTCTGACCTAGCCTCTTGCCCAAGTCCTGGAGACCCAAGTGAGAAGATCTACCTTGGGGCTCTTGTCCTACCTCATGTCCAGAACTCACAGATCAGGAAGAGTTGGTGGTCTCACCAACAGAAAGCAAACACACTCAATTTAGTGAGGCAAATGGTGGCTTAGTACAGAATTTATAGATTCATTCAAAAGTTGCCTTTAAAATTAAAAGATACATTTTTGTGTACATAAGGATCAAATAATCAATTCTCATCTGCATACTCTTTAAAAAATAAAAAGAATACAACAGTACAATGGTATAAGATATAACGTTACTTGCCAAGAAATAATGACTTTTAATATTATGAATAATTATTATTCTTAATGTCATAAGTTATTGATGTGTTCAGTTTAAAATATAACTTATAATCTTATTCAAAAGACAAGGACACATTATTATGGTAGGCAGGTATTAAACAGTCATCAATTCTCATATAGACAGAAGTGTTCTTATAAAAGCATAGCTAATTCATGTTTAATGAATTATCACACGTGCTGTTTTTAATCTGAGGCCATGCAGTTTCATTAAATCAAAATCATTTACATAGTTGAATTAAAATTCTTAAATTATAATTAGTTCTGTTTAATAATCACATATTTATGGTATGGATATTTTATTATAGTTCATTATTTGTACATTTGCTGCTTCCAGTTGAACTCTGAGCGCAGAAGAAAAGTATCCTAGTTAACTCTCCTGTGTACCTGTGCCTCATAGTCCTGACATGTAGCTAATGTCTGCTAAATTTCAAATAATACGCTAAGAAGCACTGTACAAGTGTAATATAACTTAAAAAATCACACATTGAAATTCTGGTTATTTTATCAGCAGGGGCTCAACCTTCGATTGTATTCTGTCACTGAGAGTCACTGAGCAGAAATTGTGTAGCTAACAAAGCCTCAGTAAGATCAAGGACAAATTTTAACCATATTTATTTATTAAGATTTAGTGCAATTAAGTATTTATGAAAATTGTGTGGCGTAACTTCTTCAGATCCTTCATCAAAATCCTTACTATATTTTTACTTAAATGTGTTGTTTAAAAGATTTTGCCTCAGGTTGAGCATGGGTTAATAGCTCTCTCAACAATGTATTTATGTCACCAACAGTATACTTAAGATACTGGTTCTCCTTTGTTCATCCATCAGTCTGTCCAACCATCCATACATACACCCATCTGCTGTCTTATGCCAATTAAGGCCTGAAGAAAGCTACATGATATTTACTTGAATAAATATTCATTTTACTGAGATGTGGGTTTCTTGAGGGCAATAATTATGTTTTCTTTATATCTGTTTGCTTTCCAGTCCTCCATAGAGTTAATAATTGTACGTGTATGAATTATTAGTGATAGGAACCTTGGCAAAATTTGTGTATATATATAAGCAGTTGCTAGAAGGAGACTAAGGTAAATCTGTGAATCCAAATGTCAGATTACAGCAGCCAACAGCCTCAGCTAAAGAAACAAATAGCAGACGGCATTTATTATTTGTCTTAAAAAATAAAGAAATGGTTCATGTGGGGAAAAAGCAGCAGTGGTTGTTCTTGCATTGCTCTCACTGAGACACCATTTCATTCTTTCACAAAAGAGAAAAGATAGACTTTGAAGTGACATCCCTGGGAAAGTCTTTCAAAGGCAGGCTGTGAAAGGGGCAGCTGTAGAAATTGCTCCTAAGGTCAACCCAAGAGATGATTTTAGTGCTCTCTGTCATCAAGTAGTGTGAAGTTTCTGGAAAAGCCCAGAACATGCTTGATTCTAAGCTAAGGATTCAGAATGAACTAAAGAAGCAGTGGTCAATAACAGAGATTAAGAATGGCCATATTGTACCATAGCTCTTTTCTCTTTAAAAGTTTGCTCTAGACCAGCGCTTCTCAACATTTTTTATTTGGGGGTCCATCAGAAAAAATGTCTTTTGTGAAGTGTACTGGAAGGGATTTGGAGTCACAGATGGGGCTGCTCACAGCCACAGGTGACTGGTCCAGGGACTCTAGCTGCCCCAGGCCCTATCCTGCTGCTCTGAGAAGTGAGGATGTCCATATCTCATGGGCCCACAGTGGTAAATCTCTGGCAAGACCAAGTGGAGGCTTCTGCAGAGAAAGGACTTGTGATAGACACTTCTATTTCCCTCCCTTTTCCCTCAAAACAGAGCCACGGTTTTATTCAGGAAAACAACTTACCCAGCTAAAGTCTACAATTCCCAGCCTCCCAATCTGCTAGGTATGGCCATGTGACTGAATTCTGACTAATAAGGCATAAGCAGAAATGTTATATGGGGCTTCTGGGAAGGCTCGTATAAGGAGCGATTTCAGATTGGATGTCCACTTTTTGCCTCTCCTCCTTCCTGATATTGGAACGTGGGCCAAATGGCCGGAGCCTCGGGAGCCATCTCTTATTTGCGAATGTGACTTTGAAGACAGAAACCACACGTCAGGACGGTGGAACTAAAAGGAAGGCTCAGTCCTCGTTGCCCTTGGAGCAGCAACACATGCCCTGGGCTGCTTACCTTCTGATTTCTATTAATATTATAGGAGAGAGAAGTAAATATCCATCTAATTTAACCCACTCTGGTTTTGGGGTTTCTAAGCTAACTGATAGAGAGGCCTAGGGTTCAGGCTGGGTTGGGAAGGCAATGAGGATGAGGGTGAATGTTTGTACAGGAAGGATCTTTAAAACTTTGAACCACAGACAGGGCAAGGACACTAATGAATCAAAATGGATGCTGGTACAGGGATTGGGAGATGCTGTTGTGCTTGGTGTTGATTCTGGTTGCTAAACTGTGTGAAATCGAGGCGTCCCAAGAAAGGAGTGGGCTGCAGGGCTGCAGAGAATACCATTCACGAAAAGCAACAGAGTGTTTCAATATTTTAAGAGTCATTCTGGTAGACACCGTCTGTTTATCACTCCGGAGCATGTGGCTGGGGAGATGAGTGAAAGAGTTGGAAGAAGTGGAGTGGTTTCATGGGCCAAGGTCAAGGGTGGGTGTGGCGGGGGTCAGGTGGCAGCTGCATGGGGGAGTAGGCTTGTGCTGTGGTTATTTTAGGAGTGAGGTGAGCACTGATGAATATGGGGAGGGCTCAGAGTAGGACATCAGGAGTTTCTGCAGAGGGAAGGGGGAAAGACGATTAATGTATACATTCTTCATTCTGCTTCACTTTCCTTTCACCCTTGACTTCCTCACCACTTCTCCTTCTAGCTCATTCTTATTCCTCCTCATTTGACTCTATTCCCTCTCCTCAAAAGTATTTATATGGAACTGAAGTGTATAATTCATGTATTTTTTCTTCTTTAAGAGATTTATTTCCTATTCTATAAAACATAAAGGAGAAGAGTTTAGATAGTTTCCATGAAAAAAATGCAGAGAAATTCAAGCTGTTCCTATATGTGTAGTCCCTAATCAATTATTTTCTGTGAGTCAATGACCCCTAATAGGAAACAAAAGGGGAGAAGATCTTTATCTTTAGGAAAAAGAAGCCCATTAACCAGGCACTTTCTGTAAAGAACTCATTGAACTGTTTTAGTGACATTCAGTCAACAAACTCATTCAACAACTTTTTACTGCTGGTCCCTGTGCTAAATGCTGAGGATGCAACATGACAGCAACCAAACTAGAGTCTAATAATGGCTTTTTTGTGACAAATGTAAATTAATAGTAACTTGAAAAAAATGTTAGTGAGTGTTTAAAAAATATGTGTGAACTTACAAGGGTAAGTATAACATAGAAAAATAAATTAACCTCACATCTCATAATAGCCACTTTCCCTTTTGATTTTACAAAAATTGTTAATGAACAACTAATCTGAATTTTAGCTCATTTATATTCCTTAATATACGCTCTTAATGAAGATTCTACAAGGTGAAAATATCTTTGGAACAGCTATTTCAGGTAAACTATTTCTAAATATTCAAAAGTTAGAGTAGAACAGAAGGCAGTTTTGTGATTACTGAGATAATTTGCATCTCACCTTTCTTTTGCTTGGAGATCCTTTTTTATTAATGCTTCAAACTTCTTAATCTCATTGGCCACATCCTTTAAAGGAAATTCATTATCAGTTTTTCACCTCTAAAAAAACATTGAAAATTTTCATTTACCACATTCATTCAAATGTATAAAGTGACATGCGTTACTAATTCAAGCTAATTAGGAGGCAAGATCTGAAAAGCTACATTCTAGAATATTTTTCTATTCTGATTTGTTACTTTTAGACTAGGCTAAATATATATAAAAGAAGGTGAAAATTGCCTAACCCGAATCATTCAGTTCACAAGTCTAGCTCTGACAGTACATCAAAGGGCATTTAATGAGAATAAAGATTATCAAACAGTCAGGACGTGCATTCTTAATTACAATTCTTTTAAATGAGAATAAGCATTTTTTTGGACGTAAATATTTCTTTTTTTTTTTTTTTTTTTTTTGCAGTACTTGGGCCTCTCACTGCTGTGGCCTCTCCCGTTGCGGAGCACAGGCTCCGGACGCGCAGGCTCAGTGGCCACGGCTCACGGGCCCAGCCGCTCCGCGGCATGTGTGATCTTCCCGGACCGGGCCACAAACCCGTGTCCCCTGCATCAGCAGGTGGACTCTCAACCACTGCGCCACCAGGGAAACCTTGACATAAATATTTCTTTAAAATCATCTTGAGTGTTTTAAACATTTAAGATTGTGCAACCTTACTTACACTATTAATTTGCTCTCTGAAAATTAATTTTAGCTAATCCTCTGCCTACTGCAAATCCTTATTAATAAGCTTTAATCAACTCAGGGAAATATGAGAATTAAATACTTATACTAAAATGGGGTCAGAAAAAAGCCTCTGTGGGTAGTACTTTTTAGAATCTAACTATAGGATTTTTTAATATTAAAAAAATGTGAATTAATATAAAATACAATGGATTTAGAAATCCAATCTCAATCTCTGCTTTAACAGCATTGTGTACTTGAGTAAAATATGTCAGTTTTCTGAGTCTCATTTTCCTTATCTAAAAAATGGGGAAAATAATACCCTACTTAGAGAATTATTTACAAATTAAAGATGATGTGAAGTGCCCAACCCACAACCTGGCATATAGCAGATGATCAATAAATGGTAGTTATTAATCTTTTTTCTTAAGGGAGAGAATATTCCTAACAATCATTATAGTAGTATACAGTGTAGATTACAGGAATTAGTATCAAAATGTAGTATTGTTCCCTTGTGAAATATAATGAGATTATATCCTATTGGAATGATTGACAGCTGGCATGGTCTAGTAAAATATCAATAGTGTAAGTATCTTAAATTTAAATATGATGAGAGCAAGCAAGTTGCTTAACATTTCTAGGATTCATAGAAAGACAGTGCATCATGGGGAGGAGGTATTGAGGAAAAGCAAATAGTAGGAATGGCACACGCATGGTATGGGTACTTGGACTGGCCCCTGTTGTACCCATGGGTATCATGACCCATTACAACAGCACCCACTCTGGCATAGTTTGTTAGTAACCACAGAATCCACATCACAGGAGCCGCACAGGTTCTGTCATTTAATAGAATTTGCCATCCCTGTCCTAAAGCTACATTCTCTGTTTCTGAACAAATAACTATAAAATGGATTGGATATGCATATGGTGGAGGAGTTTTCAATGAGAAGGGACAATACCAGAAGTAATTCAAAAAGGAAGTAGGGAGTTCAGGGAAGTCTCTATATGTTTTAGGGAAAGATCATCCTTTCATTAAGATAAACACAACACATTATTAAAGGGTTATCACTTACCTCTGCCTCTTTTTTCTTTTTCAACGTTTTTTGACTGTCAAGTGCTTTCAGAATACGATTTGATGCGGGTTTAGGAATCTGTATGATAGCTGCTTGGATTTTAGCCATTATTTCATTTTGTCGTCTTCTGCTCAAGCGTTGCTAAATATCCCATACACATTAGTTTAGTTATTCAGTTCATCAGAATAATATGCAATGTTATACACTCACAGGTACACAGATACACAAATTTTCCATTGAAATTTTCGGAACTCAGCAATTAACCAATGGAAGAGTCAATATAACTTATTTTGAAAAGTATGATATTGAAACACAGTTTTGGAATCCCCAAATTATGCCGATCAAATGTGTGTATTTTCATTCTGGGTAACAACCCTCCCCCATATCACTGAAGCATCTGAAGCATTCATTTCTACCAGACAACTTAAAAAGAGGTCAAGTTGTCCCACTGTTCCAAAGAATGGCAGTTCTAGTTCTTTGCCGCAGGAAGATGCGACCATCAGCAAAGGTGGAGACAGAGAAAGGGAAAAAGTGAGGGAGAGAAAGGTGAGAGCAGGCAGAGCATGAGGCTTGTACCAGGAACTGGCAGCTCGGGCTGGATTCATGCCTATGCAATGCGTAATATAGACATAAGTGGCAAACAATATACTATGCACTAATGAGTTTCTGGAAAAATTGTTCTATAAAACCTTTTAGATTTTAAAAGATCTTTGTTCTTCCTGGAGTTTTTGAAATTTTTCAAGTTTCTCAAAATGCATGTGGACAAGATCTTTGTTCATGTGTTTATATTTTTCTTGAAACCTATGTGTAACCTGCATCAGATTGAAATCAGTTTGACGTGGTATCAGGTTTCTATGTCTCTAAATGAAGAAAGCATTTCAAGAAGATTCCATTATTAGAGAAAAAAGAGTATATTGTCATTATAAGCACACATAAACTTTGCCTTCAGAATAAAATTTCTGTGAATTACTACTGTTGACGGCTAAAGCAAATTCAAGTCCCATACCAATCACTCACACCCTTAATTGATGTAAGGACAATAAAAATGCATGATATATGCTTTTATAATTAAACTTTTTGCCCTGAGTTTAATTTTCAATGCATGGTATTTGTATCCTTACAAATACATTTTCATAAAAGTAATTTATAAAACCAATTTCAACATAAAAGAGATAATATAAGAAGCTAGATTCTTTCCATTACTTAAGCCACTTCCTAGTAAAAAGTGAAGAAATAATGAAAACTTCCAGGCCACCGGCAATGAGGGTACAATAGTAAACGAAAATGAGCTCTCAGTGATGATTGTGAAGTGGGACACAGAGCAATGGCTAACGTATTTAACTAAAACTTTTATATTTGAAAGTAATCTACTTAGAAGCTGATGACTTACTAAAAATTTTTTTTTAAATGGTACCATTGCTCAAACCATTCTTGGTCCTTCTTTTCTAAAACTGCCTCAGTAGATACTGACACTTACTCAGAAGATCAGTTAAGGCCCTGTGAGCTGTCTTTAAGCACTTACACACACCTCTGCTCTTTTCACTGTTAAAAATGTCCTGGCCTCCATCTTCACAGTGGCAACGAACATGTAAGGTCCTTCAACATCCTACCACCCCACTTCAACATATATATATATATTTTTTTTCTTTTTCTTCAACTTAATTCTATTTCCCCCCAGCCCAGGAAATATCCATTGAGCCATCAAATAACCTGCTGTTAAATGTGTGGAGTCAGAGTGCCTAGGTTTGAGGTTTAGCTCTACTACCTACTAGCTTCATGAAGTTGAGCAAGTTACCTAATCTCTCTGTTTCATCATCTGTAAAATGGGAATACTGAAAGTACCTATCTCATAAGATGGTTGTGAAGGTCAAATGAGATAATATACATAAAGCACCTGGAACAGGGCCTGGCATCTCACTATGTATGTTCAATAAATTTTCATCATTATCGATATTAATATGTAATAGACACATGCATCTTCCTCCACCTATATCAAAGAAAAAAGGCATCTCTACTTTTTTCATAAGATATCTCCTCCTTCATCTGAACCATTGACTCATTCTTCCTCTTTTCTTCCCCAGAGGGTCTCCTTCCACTTGGGTCTTCACACCACTCATCACCTGCCACTGATTCTTTTTCTCAACTGCCAAGTTGTCCCAGTCTCCATGTCCATAAAATGAACAAATAATCTCACACTTCTGTTGAGCTTCTCCCCTGCAGCTACTGTTATTCTCTCTTCCCCTTTATCTCCACATGTCTTGAAAGAATAGTCTATGCTCCATTCTTCCTCATCTCCACTGCAATCCATACCACTCTGCTGAAACATTTTTCTCTCCCCAAAATGTAAGCTCTAAGAGAATTGGGGGGTTTCCTGTACTACTCACTTCTGAGTGCCTGACATAAAGTAGGAGCCCAACAGATCTTTGTTCAATAAATGGGTAATTGACTTTGGAAAGTCACCGTGGCCAACATTAAACCCAATGGTTTTTTGTTTGGACTCAGCTCTACAGCACTTGTAGCACTTGTTTACACTGACTCTTTTATACTTTACAAAGAATTTTCTTATATATTGTTTTTCTTGAAGTTACCAAAAAACCTAACTCTCAGGCAGGTAGAGATAAACATCCTTGTTTTTACAGTTTGAAAAAGTGAGACTGAGACTGTTCCAGGGACTAACCCAAAGTTAACCAGCTTGCACATGAAGGAAGCAGGATGAGATACTAAGTTACTGACTTTCAACCTAATCTAATTTCTAGCTCTCTGTGGGTGCTGAGTTCATTCTGCTACCAGACTCATAAGGATGTCCACCAAGAGTAGACAAATCTAAAAGTGGAATTAGCTCCCACATTTATTGTCATTGCTGCTTCATAAATTAAATTTTAAAATTTAATTATTTTCATTTATTATTGTGCACTACATCAGTACAGTACTCCCCATTATCCTACAGACCTGGAAAAGTTAATGGCCTTCACTTATCATAAGGAAACAGCACAGGAACTACAGAGATTTGTCAACTAAAGAGTTGTATCAAATAATCAAGAGACAATGAGTATTTGCAACGTTGAAAGCATTGTACTGGGCATATTTCTTGAACTTGAGGAACTAAAAATCTTGTGAGGCCATATGACAGATAAATAATGAAAGTTAGTCAATACTACCAGCAACAGGAGGTTAACACCAAAGAGTAACAATTACCTGTGCCCTACAAGCTCTGCAGAAAGAGTCCATGTATACTGGGAAGGCTGCACAGAGTAGACGGAGGAAAGTTTGGGGGAAGCGGAGAGAGGAGAAGGGTGAGCTTGGGTGGTAGAGAGGGAAGAGCAGAAATATACAAGTCCTATTTAAGGACAGGCTGCCAATCAATGCAGAAGAAAGACTTTATTCTGAGGTTTATGAAGAAATGAAGTTAGAAAGACAGAATGAGACTCTTTAATGAAAGAACTTGGATGCTAGTCTAATTTGGTGACAAGATTATTTGTAAATTAGCAAGGTTTCTGTGCAGAAGAAACCAACAAAAGTGGAACTGAGGGCAGATTCACCTAGCGGTTGATTAACCTCCAGTAGGAAGCCTGAAGATCGGAAGTCGCATTAGTAGGTTACTGCAGTAGCTCAGCAGGAGGTCTGAGCAGATAGGATAGGGGTAGAAATGGAAAAGAGAGGAGCAGGCACAAAAAGCACTGGGAATTAGGAGCAAACAGTTGATAAGTTATTGGCAATTGGTGGATAGGATGGAGAGAGGCATCAAAAATGGATAAATGAATTGAAAATATTAATATAAAATAAAACCCAAATATGGCCAATAACATACATCAGGGACATATATGCCTGATGGGGCTTCTTTGAGAATGCAACATCACTGCTGTGTCCCTTTATCAAGCTTTATATTGCGATATGCTTATAATGTTTCTTTATGTACTTACATCTTGAAAAGTCTCGCTTTTCATGTTTTGAACTTTTGTATTTGTCAGGGGTTGCATGGTTTGCATTTCCACTCCAGTCAGCACACTTTTCTTTTTTCTCTGGAGAGCAATGTACAATTGATATAAGAGTTTTGTGGCTGCCCCAGGCTTTTCTGTGATGATATCGTGGGCCACGTTCTGATCAAACTGCACACCCAGAAGGTGAAGTGTGGGCTCCAAGCGAGAAAAATTATTAAGTTTGGCACTTGAAATCCTAGGCATTAAAATATTTTACATAATTAGACACTGAAATAAAGCAAACAACAAATATCAGAGGTATTACCATGATCCCATATTATGAATTATCCCATGTTCTTTTAAATATATCAATCCTCTCTAAAACCACTTAATCACGTAGATACATTGAGATTTTGTGTATTGTCTTAACTCCATGCATTTATTTCTCTTGAATGGCTAAACTAAAACCCATTAATTTCATATACTCTTCTACTTAAATAGATGCTAGAATTTCTGCAAGAAGTCAGTACAAAAACATAACTAAATTTCTTCTTCTAAATGGAAAATCTTAACTATTGTTTTGAAAAATATTTTACTCAGAAGACAAAATTGCAATTTAAATGTCCATTTCTTCAACTGATGTCATTACTAGAACCTGAAAATAATCTTATTTTCAGTTGCAGTGACAACTTTCACAGTAATCCCCTCAGGCATTATCAGAAATATTTAATTAAATAACATTAGCTATACAACTAAATTAGTTATGTAATCTTCACTGTACACTTCATATTACTTCTTCAAGAATCGCTAAAGACTTTCTACAATATATGTATTATTGAATCACCTATCATCAAATTGGGCTCACATTTTAGAAGAAATTCATTAATTCATTTATTAATTTACTCTCTCAACTATACCAATAATTTGTTTAATTTAATAAATTTTTATAAATTTATTAAAGTCTTACAAAGATAAGACACCCTGCCCTTTAGGAGTTCATAGTGGGAAAACAGATGAATAACAAGTAGTGATAAATTGATGTAATGGTTGTAATAGAGGTCTCAAATGACCTAGGGCTGTCAATAAGCCTGTGAATCCAGTGGCAGAAAGAAAGCAAAAGATGTTAGATGCATTTTCAACTTTTGTGCCTCTCTGCAATCAAACTGAATGCAAATGTCAATTTTAACCACTGGTCTATTTTCTCCTTACTTTAACTTCCAAAATCTCAGTGACATTCTTTGATGGAAAAAATACACTGAATATACTTAAATATAAGTCAAGGTCACATCCTCTCCCTGAAAAAAGATGATACTTTAGAACAGTTGGTGGAATTTCTAATATTATAGGGTTACTCACTCAATAACTTCATTTTGGACTATAATATTATTTGGGGAAGATACAATGACCTTTAATGAACTCAACTGAATGTTTAGAAGCTGAAAGAGATCACTTAGCACTTCTTTTTAAAATTTATTTAATTAATTTATTTATTTTTGGCTGCATTGGGTCTTTGTTGCTGTGTGCAGGCTTTCTCTAGTTGCAGTGAGTGGGGGCTACTCTTCATTGCGGTGCGCGGGCTTCTCTTGCTGCAGAGCACAGGCTCTAGGCATGCAAGCTTCAGTAGTTGTTGCACGTGGGCTCAGTAGTTGTGGCTCGTGGACCCTGGAGCACAGGCTCAGTAGTTATGGCGCATGGGCTTAGTTGCTCCGCGGCATGTGGGATCCTCCTGGACCAGGGATCGAACCTGTGTCCCCTGCCCTGGCAAGCGGATTCTTAACCACTGAGCCACCAGGGAAGCCCAATTAGCACTTCTTAAACTTTATATACTGTTCCTAGTATATTATTTCTCAAGAGAGAGCTCTCAAGCAGTGGTTCTAAACCTTTTTTTTTAAATCACACATACCATCCTTTGGAAATCTGATGAGAGCTATGAAACCTTTTCCACAGGAAAGAAAACACACATTCATGCAGATAACACAAAATGTGTATACAATTTGCTGGTATTTGTGAACCTCCTAAAATCTAGTCTAAAAGTGCCTGTCAGCTGCCAAGGAGGTGGATCTGGGGAAATATAGGAATGATTTATAAATATAAATAAGGAGCCAGTATCATGGAAAGGCCAATGTCAACAAATGTAGTGACACAAGACACTGAATTCCTTTTCCAGTTCTGTGGTATAACTTATCGTATTTCCTATTTCCTCTATTTGGTTAAGTATATTTAGTGTGGCATACCACATCAACCAAACTTTGAATGAAATATTTTAAATTGATAAAGAGAAACAGATCTTAGAGGGGATAAGAAGAGATAAGGAATGCTACAAGGTAATCTTATCAACAAAAAGGGTAAAACATTGTTTTAGGTCTTCTCAGGTCATGTCCAGTTTTGCAATTTGTTCCCCCACAAATGACCTTACAGTTTGAGATAACAAACACAGGACTAAAATGATTAGGGTACAGCAGACCATGTTTTGAAGAGTCTTATTGTGACAGAGGATGGTCAAATCAAAGACCTGTGTTCACATTCCTTGGACGGGCACCTGGCATCCCCTTTTGATCTTCCATCTCAGTTCATCATTTCATGTCCTTCCTATCCTAGGAGTCCTGTATGCCTTGTCCACTACACTTACTTGGAAAGATATGGCCTGAGAGCCGCTTTTCAGAGATTTTGCCTGGGTCATAACCTTGGGCTTCAGAGGTTAGAGGCACCATAATTCGGGAGGGAGAATCCAAAAACAAACACTATTCATTTCCAAATTTTATCAAAATTTAGCCCTGTACCCAATAAAAGTGAAGAACACTTCCCCTCCTCTTTCTTGTATTACACAACCCCCAGAATGCAGTGTAGCCTGCTAACACTAGGGTTCAGTGACACAGTAGGCTTTAAAATGGCTTTTACGGTCTGGCCAAAGTGTCCAGGTGTAATAGTATTTCCCTCTGGAAGCTTTTAATATATACTCTAAATTTCCAACCAAAATTTTGGGAATATAACTGGTGTGTAAATTGGTGGAGTCCACTCTTGTTACAGTATATGCTCAATCAGTATAACATGATAATCAACAGTTGGTTTTGAACCCAGAGAATCCACTGGGACATCTTTGCTCTGAAGACATAGCATATGATGTAAATGATGACACCCGAGGGGATAAGGAATGTATTCTGGGAAAAGTCTTCTCCCTCTCTACTTGCAGTCCTTATTTGCCAAGGGATGATCAATCTCCTCTCCTCCTTGCCACTTGGTGATGGAATACATCTCACAAAGTAATTAGAAGCTGCCCTCCCAAGGGATATCCATGTTCCTTTACTTTTTATTCTTTTAACTAATCTGCTCATTTTTCACCCTCTGAGATGGACTAAAGATATCCGCAAACAGAATTCTTTCAGAGTTAGATGAGTTATTCTTAGGATTAAGTAATTCCCAAAGCAAATAACTTCTAATTATTAGCAACATAGATTTAGTTTACTGTTAACATTTTAGACTAAAGACCCTAGAAAATATTACACAAAAATCCCCAAATCATGAGCTCTGGCACTAGCTAGCTGTCTAAAACACAGGCTTTACAAAGAAGGGTCCTTTTCCCCACTAAATACACTATTACAAAGGTCATATCCACAGATTTACTAATTCTTACCTTCTTTAAAATACCATGTGCCCTGGAAAAAATGTGGGTTGTTCCAGGAACTAAAGATGGATAGTATTTGGTTGTCAGGACAAGTAGGTCCCTCTCCCCATGTTAAGAACGGTAATGACTCAGTGGAACAGAAAGTGAGTCCTTTTCAGTGAGTGAAAGGCAGGACTGCTACACATGGTAATACTCAGGGCACACTCCTGTGCAGGGGTGGGGCAATACCTGGCATGAGGTTGTTTTATCCAAAAAGGGGCTTCTTTTTCTTTGCACAGAGGTCTTTCTGTTCACTAAGACCTGTGTCTTCACAGTTACCTCCATCCATATGGGGTCCCTATCTCCATTTCACACAAAGGCCTTCCATGGCCTGGCTAACAAGAACCAACTTAGTACATGTGAAATACTGCACGCATGATCTGATCAGTACGGTTCTTTAAGTTTTCTGTACCGAACCAGATATGCTTTCTGAAATCATTCATATATTTAATAGAGAAACATTATTGTGTGCCTGCTATGGTCCAGGGACAATGCCTGGAGCACAGAGAATAAACATACTATGCAACTTTGAGCAACTTTGCAATCTAGTTAAGGAGTAAACATTCATATATTCATTATCAAACAGTATTTGGGCTCCTTCACGTGGCAGTAACTCTTATAAGAACTGACATATAAATAAATAATTATACCTTAATGTAATAAAAAAAAAGGGACATCCAAAGTGTTATTAAAACAAAGAGAAAAAAACAAAGAGGAAAAGAAAATTAAATCTGCTAGGGGACCAAACACAGTTTAGAGAAGGGGTGGATTTTTAGCTGGATCTTAAGGATGAATAAAAGTTTCTCATGGTGGAAGTGAAGGATGAATGTTAATATGCAAAATTTCAAGGCATAACAAAAGCACATGACATGTTTGTGAACCAAAGCAGTTTATGTTAGGGCTCCAGACCAGTGGAAAATGCGGCTGGAAAGGTGGATGAGGGTCACACAGGGAAGCATTTTGTAAGACAGGCCTTGAGAAACAGAAACTGGAATATCTAAAGTTTCTTAAGCTGATGGGGAAACCACACTTAAAAATGTGGGTGTAGAGCTCTATCTGCCTACGGAGAAGTTCAAACAAGGTGTCTAAATGCAGGATTTATCAGGATATGCAGCCATTCATTAATTCAAAAAACATTTACTGAAAGCTAAACATGTGCCAGGCCTGTGATGGCCCTGGGGATGCACAGAAAAATAACTCATACCCATAACTTTAAGGCACTTGAATGTACAATGTGCAACGTGAAAGAGACACAAAAAAAGAAACTGACAACAAAGTGACCAGTGTTATAATAAGTAATGTACAAGATAACTTTATAACTTTCATAAAGGGATAATAAGCAACAACAACAAAAAAGGATTGGAAACCTGGTTACATGCAGACCATCACAAATCAATCTGGTCATATGAGAACTTGTGAGAAAGCAAAAGGAGAAAAGAAGGGCATAGACACTGACTTAGCTACCCTGGAAATCTCATACCTTAGAGGCTGATCCTGGCTTCCATTGGAGGGGAGGAAATTAAGGTAGAAGCAGAGTGGGCACAGGGCTAGGAGCTCAGGCAGAGGAGGCAGTCGGGGCTAAGCTGTGAAGGACCGTGTATCCCTTGCCCTTGAGGAAGAGATGTGAGACATGGGGTGTAGGGTATGTATTAGAATGTTACCCAGTACCCTATAAGCTTAAGAAATTGTCTGGGATTAGCAACAGAGGCTTATTTGGCATGAAAATGTATTTCCAATCCATGGCTCCTCTTGTATTATACTATTATTACCTGTACAACTAGCATAATCTGGATTGTGAAAGAATGACTCACCTCTAGAATGGAGGTACCAGATTCTTTTGCCTTAAAGTCTTGCAACATAGGTACTGCTCAATGGAAGCCTACTATTCCAAGCAACCAAAAACTAAGAAATACTTGAGTGGGAAATATCAGGTTAAAACATGGAGATGGAGCAGGATGTCAGGAATGGTAGAGCAAGGACCTCCAAAAATCCATTCCTCCATAAAGGCAATAATAAAACTGACAAAAATTATGAAAATCAACTTTTTCATAACTCCAGAAATTATCCAAAGGCTTGTAACAATCTAAGAAACATTTATTTAAGAAAAAAACTTAATCTTAGTTAAAACAGAGAGCTTTTGATCGTTTTAACTTGCACTATTCACATTCCCTTCTCCCCAGCTCTACAGTAGCCTTACAACAATAGGAGCTGTAAAAACCAGCAGCCTAGCAGCCATCAGAGAGGACAAACAGGTTTCAACCTTCTCAAAAAGTCCTATCCTCAGGACATTGTCATTACTTGATATTTTTTAGAGCTCAATCACTGAAAGAAGACTTATTCCCAGGGTATTAGTGAAAAATAATCAGTGGCAATTGTTTAAGATCACAGCTACCTAAGGCAGTGATACCACTGGAGCAAATAAGAGTCTACTCAAAAATTTAAAAGGAAGATATAAGAATAAAATATCCATTGGGCGCTTTGAAAAGCTCTGACATATTCCTGGAGATCTAGAGGGGCATATGCATGTGTAGGAATGTTTGGATAAGCAGGAAAGACAGAAGGAGGCCCAAATCTCTCACCTCTGGCTGATCTTGAGGTCCTGTACAAGCAGGAAGTAAAGGCTAAGGCAGGGTTGTAAACTGTGAAAGCATTGGAGACACCTCAACAGACTCACAGTCTCTCAGTCAGGAAAGATTTATCAGTTTAAGATATTTTAAAATATCTCTGTTCATTTGCTGAGCTCTGTTCATTTGCTCTATTCACTAAGCTAACCAAGCAGCGTCTTCAGCTGCTGTACACAACAAGGAATACAGACTTTCCAAAATTAGTCCAAGAGAGTCATTAAACAAACAAGCAGCAGCAGCAACAACCACAAACCATGGGAAGGTGGGATAATCTGAGCTAACTCGTATTATTTTAAATGTCTATTTTCAACAATTATGAGACACACAGAGAAAAAGGAAAGTATGGTCCATATATAGGGGGGACAAAGCTCAATAGAAACTCTCTGAGGAAGCCCAGATGCTGAACTTATTAGACAAAGACCTTAAGTCAGCTATTATAAATGTTAAAACAACTAAAACAATTCATTTTTTAACCATTAAAAAAGAAAGTATGAGAACAACATCTCAACAAAAATAGAATATCAATAAGGAAATCGAAATTATAAAAATAAGAACCAAGTGGAATTCTAAGGTTGAAAAGTACAATAACTGAAATGTAAAAATTCACTAGAATAGCTCAACAGGAGATTTGAGTTGTCAGAAGAAAGAATTGGTACACTCATAGATAGATCAACTGAAATTATTTATAGGAGAAACAGAAAGGAAAAAGAATGAAGAAAAATGAACAGAATTTCAAAACACATAAACTCATTCTAATCATGAGAAAAAATATCAGACAAATTCCAGCTGAGGAGCAATGTACAAAATACCTGACCAGTTATTAATTTTTCTAAACTGTAAAGATTATCAAAAACAAGGAAAGTCTGAGAAAGTATCTCAGCCAAGAAGAATCTAAGAGACGTGGCTATAAAATATAATGTGGTATCCTGGTGAGATACTGGAACAAAAAAGACATTAGATAAAAATTACAACAAATCTTTGGTACAAAAGGTACCATACGAATATAAGATGGTAGCAGTAGGGGGAACTGGATATGAACAATATGGGAACTCTCTGTACTATCTTTGCAATTTTTCTGTAAATCTAAAACTGTTCAAAATAAGAAGTTTATTTTTAAAAATCAACAAAGCCTCAGAAACCTGTGGGATACTGTCAAGTATACCAACATACACATAGTGGGAGTCCCAGAAGGAGAAGAGAAAGAAATGGGCAGAAAGAACTTTTGGAGAAACGATGGGCAAAAGCTTCAGCAATTTGATAAAACACAGGACTGCAGGAATACAGAAGATATTAAAATGGGGCCCATCTAGAGATGAGGGCTTGCTGCAACCTTATAACTTTCTCTCCATTATACTCCTGGGACTATGAAGTATGTATACGTGAGGAAGCAGCAATTTCCATACCAATGGATGCTTGGCTGGTTTAGGGGAATCTTGTGGTAAATGATTCTTTAATGTTAAGTTTGGGCTAAAACCATCCAAATGCCAAAGGAATTGACCTTTTTTAAAGTAAGGAATAATCTCACCAACCTGCTTTCTGAAAATTCTGCAAAATCATCCTGAAGTGCAAACTTGTGCAAAACTTCTCCAATTAGATAGCCATTGGAAAATGCCTTTGCAAATGACTTGGGACCTGAATTTTAGAACGTAGAGATTAAAAAAGTAAATATAATGTTGTACATAGAGTTTATATATTTTCATTATGTACACATAGAGTAAAACTTCATAATTTAACTTGAACTCAAAATGCCATGAAAATACTTCTAAAAACATCTTGTAATAACCAAATGAAAATATTGAAGTTTAACAGTAGACATCTTATAAAGACCCCTGAATAAATGTAGATCAGTAGTTGATAACATATGACATTTTGAAGGAAAAGACAACTTTTGATCAAACCAAACAAAACACAACCAATAAAACATATAACCTTAGATCTAAAAACAAACCCTCAACATATTTTATAAAATTATACTCTAATACCTTAGTTATCAGTAAAACCTGTGGATGATGATTTCATATTCTGGCCAGGTAAGGTACAATCTAACTTCTCTAAACCTCAAAACTTAATTTTAACCATTTTGCAATGGAAATTTTACAGAAATCATCTGCACCTTCTTAAATAAAGCCTGCTGAACATAATCAAGCTTTTCCTTGTTGGCTCCAGGGTTTACTCCAGTCTAGTTGGTGTTCTGTGCAATGATGGAGACAGCCCAGAGGAAGACAGACTTTGGAGCCAGAGATATCTATGCAGGAATCTTGGCTCTGCCTTTTACTAGCTGTGCAACCTCTTCCAAGCTGCTTAAGCTTAAGCTTCCTGAGTTTCTATCCCCTCATCATATCTATATCTATCTCGGAGAGCTATTTTAAAGATTAAAGGCAATATATGAGAATTCCTTGATACCATGCCTGCCACATAGTACGCACGTAATGATGAGCACAGAAAAAGGAATTAAGTGTTAAACAGAATTTGCTTTCTTTAAAAATGTCCTTAGTTTGGGGTCCCTTGTATTTTTCTTATGAAGTGAAGGGTATAGGGTTACACAGTATTCAAGAATGATATACAAAATCGATACATAAAATAAATTATATTGTCATAAGACAAAGCCATCATCTCTCAAATGACTTCAAAATCATCCAAAAATCTTCAGTGTATTTCTATCAGAGTCCTTTAGGCAATAGCAATACTAAATATCTATAAAATATTATACATTATCATAGTATCGCAAACTCATTCATACTGAATTATCCTCTTTTATCTATTTGACTAGTAATAAGGTGGCCATCTGAAAATGAAGAAAAACTAATTTCTTCATGATTTGTAGAACTGATGCTTGGTGCGTGGTTGCAGGGAGGTGAGTTGAGTTGCTCCATAAAGGCCACTGTACAGAGTTCTTACTCGGAAGACTTCACATTATCATAAAACTCTTGCATATTTGACACCAGCCCACAATTTTGCCCAAGGCTTTCCTAATATCTGTTCTCTAAGTATTTTATACTCAATAATACCCCAATTCTTAGGTTAAATCAATATAATTATAAAGTAGTTTAAAAAGATGTCGACTATTCTCACTGATTCTGTTTTCTTGGGGTGAGCCCCTAAGCTATCTAGCACTAAAATCTAGTGAGTGCCTTCTGGCATCATGCAGCAGTAGTCTTGGAAGCAACTGAAATCCAAATAGCTCCTTCTGCCCCCAAAAGGCAGAGGTGTGCCAGCTCCTCCTGCTGAGTCACTGCAGATTTCTCCTTTCCTTAGAGACTCACCACTGCTGGCCTCCAACGCTGTTCCCTGGTTTTCGGCTGCCACCACTGTCCTCACTGTGCCATTTGGGCTGCTCTGGCTGTGCACTGCACCTCTTCTGGCTGTTGCTTTCTCCTTTCTGCTTCTTTCCTTTTTCTCTTCTATAGCCCGTCCCTATTCTTAGCTTTCTGAAGTGCCATTGGACAAACAGTCATCGTCAGACTATGGATTCCTACTAAAGATCTAAAGACTATTATTTTGTATTCAGGGGCTACTGCTATGTCGCCTTTGGGTGGTCTCGTTCCTCCACTCTCACTGGATTTTGCCCTTTGCCTATTGTTCCTGTTGACTGAAGACCTGAAATCTAGCCTGTGAATAACTGGGCAATAACTGTATCCTAGTCCATCACTCTCAATTTATCAGGCAAATGGTCTGTAGCAAACTCTTTGCTACAAAGAGTCACTAGAAAAATAAAATCATAATTCACTTCCTTTGAAGTGGCAGGACTTATTAATCAGGCAATTCTGATATGGTTAAAATAGGGGCATTTTGGATATAAAGGTCAAAGAAGAACAGTAAACACATTATTTCACTGTCAAGTAGTTTACTATAAATAAGTATGAAAGCATGTGTCTGCAGCTCTGTGTGTATTAGACACTCTCCGATTTTTTTTTTTTTTACACCCCAGGAACACAGAAGAGAATAATGAGTGAAGAGCTATAGCAAAAGTAACAGAGAGAAAACACATAGAAAAAATGAAAGAGGAGGAAAAAGAAGAATACATGCAAGAAATCAGATGAAGAAAGAGCAGATAACCAGGAATATGTAGATTAAAAAGTATGGAAAGGAAGATAAGAAGCCAGAGAGAGAAAGAGAAATGGAGAGAGGCGAGGGGAGGGAAACAGTAAGGAGAAAAGAAAACTCAAAGGAAAGATTATATTTTTCCCTTTGGTTTATCAAATTTTCCTTCCCAGTACATGTTCTGAAATACCATGACTAACTTCATGACGGCCACCTCTATAAGTTAATTTGCACTCACAACTGGAATTACCTACAGGGAAGAAGAGGTGGGTTGACTCTAGGATAAGGAGCAATGCAGAATATGAGAAATACATGAACCATGGGAGCCCAGTGACGTTCTTCACCCTGAGCTCTAAAATGATCTACATCTGGGAAACGTTGTTCAGCAGCCACTCAGCCATGCCTCCAGTCTTCCAAGCCTCAGATCTGATACCCATCATTTTCATTTGCTGAAATCTTTGATGTGGGCCTTTGTCTACCTTAGGCTGGGACAGAGGGCAAAATGGTCTATGTGTTTCTCCACCTGAGCCAGCTGGACAAAGCACAAAAGAAGATAAGCCTTCTACATTCCAAATGGTAATGAGGAGAGCACAGGCTCTGGAGAAATATTCTCTAGTTTGACTCTTTCACCATTTATAAGCCCTAAGACCTTGGATAGTTACACAGCCTCAGTGTCCTGTCTTTAAAAGAGAGAGAATGATGGGTTCTACCTCCTGAGAGTTGGTTTGAGAATTAAATGAGATAATTCCATGTAAAGTGCATAGCATAATTTCTGGCATATAGTAAGTGCTCAGTGATCATTTTATTGTTATTATTACTGCCTCCTAATCTAAGACAACAGGTTATATCAATTACACAATTGTTAAGCTCAGTAATAGATCCTCAATGACTACAGTACAAACATCTTTATTTAAAGGTAACTCAGTACTCAGAGAACAAATAGTTGACCCTATCCTTAAATTCAGATACAGGCCTACTCTTGGGGCCAGGTAAGCTATAACACTCTCGCCAGTCTGGGGAAGCACATGTAATCAGACATAGTTGATTTTTACAGCAAACCATTTGAGTGGGAGAAATAAAGACAAAACGTAGCCTCACAGCATTTCTGGTCAAGTTTTGCCACCAAATGACTAAAGAGATTTGGGGATTTGCAGATTGTAGACAAGGGGCTATAGACCTACACATTCTATGCTAAGTGTCCTTTGCTCCTCCTTCACTAGAAGATCAAAGACCTAGCCTAGGTTTTTTTTTTTTTTTTACATCTTTATTGGAGTATAATTGCTTTACAACCACATTTTAACAGCCACTATGGAGAACAGTATGGAGGTTCCTTAAAAAACTACACATAGAGCTACCATATGACCCAGCAATCCCACTACTGGGCATATACCCTGAGAAAACCATAATTCAAAAAGAGTCATGTACCAAAATGTTCATTGCAGCTCTATTTACAATAGCCCGGAGATGGAAACAACCTAAGTGCCCATCATCAGATGAATGGATAAAGAAGAGGTGACACATATATACAATGGAATATTACTCGCCATAAAATGAAATGAAATTGAGCTATTTGTAATGAGGTGGATAGACCTAGAGTCTGTCATACAGAGTGAAGTAAGTCAGAAAGAGAAAGACAAATACCGTATGCTAACACATATATATGGAATTTAAGGAAAAAAAATGTCATGAAGAACCTAGGGGTAAGACAGGAATAAAGACACAGACCTACTAGAGAATGGACTTGAGGATATGGGGAGGGGGAAGGGTGAGCTGTGACAAAGCGAGAGAGAGGTATGGACATATATACACAACTAAATATAAAATAGATAGCTAGTGGGAAGCAGCCGCATAGCACAGGGATATCAGCTCGGTGCTTTGTGACCGCCTGGAGGGGTGGGATAGGGAGGGTGGGAGGGAGGGAGATGCAAGAGGGAAGAGATATGGGAACATATGTATATGTATAACTGATTCACTTTGTTATAAAGCAGAAACTAACACACCATTGTAAAGCAATTATACTCCAATAAAGATGTAAAAAAAAAAAAAGCCAAGCAAATTTACTTTCATTTGAGAGAGAAAAGCAGCTGCTGGTGGCTGGGTACTGGCCTGGCCCAATTAGGCCCTGGTGTTGCTAGGAGTTTGCCCAGCACTCACAGCTAGACCTCTGCCTTCTGCCGAACATAATCAATTTCACATCACACCAACACCAGACAAGGCTACTCAGTGACCCTGATGGATTCAGACAGAAACAAAATCTCTCTGTAATCATGTCTGAACTCAGCCCGAAACAGTATTGGCCAAAACACAAAAAATGATCAAATATCATCCCCCTATTCTGACTGATACGAGTGGTTCCTGCTTTTTCTTTTTCCTTGCTTTGCTCTCCCCACTTCCTAGATAAGTTTTGTTAAGATATCCAATCATAGAGTTGTCTATGCTCCCTTTACAGGTTCCAATTCAGAGCAAAGCGCTGCTTCCTTGAGCCTTCCCCAAAAAACACCTAACACAAACCCAAATGCTATAAGCCCTTTCTAACATCCTCTTCTAGAGAAGCCCCACAGTTCCTCACGGTATGTGTTGCAACAAGTCAG